CTGGTCCAGCACAACGACTCGCTCAACGTCACGCTGGCCTTCCCCGTCTACAGCCAGCAGAGACGGTGACCCGCCCCCCCGACATCGTTTACACGCCCCCCTCCCCGCCTCTCCTCATTTCCCTCTGCAGACACAGATCAGTGTCTGGATGAAGCTTCTTGTTCAGGCTGACGCGCCGATAAACGTTTTCCTGTGAAAGGCGACGTGAAGCTTGAACTTCCTGCGAGGAACACGTTACAGACGTGCCCGTATCACGCTTTCCCTTCTGTCAGCACGCTCACGGTGCTCCGGGCTGTTTGTCTGCTACAGATCGATGTCACCGAGGAACAGAAGCGAGGCAGGGACGCCGTGTTTCATGGGCGGTGTGAGGATGGGCGGAGCTGCTGTCGCTTAGACCTGGTGTGACTAAAATTGAAAGACTTGATGATTTATTCAGTATGACCCAAAATGAGCAGTTGACAGAGGTCAGAGGTCATTGGTCCCTCAGACTTCTGTAGGACTGGAAGTATTTTTGTTGCCCTCTGGTGGCGTTTAGGTAGAATGCAGGTGAAGGTGTTACCTGACTGTGACCCTGCAGCTGCGTCCATGTTTCCCCGCCTGTCTTGATGTATTCTCAATCATCCAGGAAAATAAATCTCCAAAAGTTGATTCTGTTCATCTGGACGCAGCGTTTTGTGGGAGAAACGTTTCGTCACTTATCCAGGTGACGTCTTCAGTCTCAGCTGACTGCAGGTTTCAATCTTATAAGCAGTACATTTGCACAACGACTGAAACCAGCCCACTGAAGGAACAATGGGCTTGGGAGGTCAGGTTGTTCTTTCAGTGGGCTGCTTTCAGTCGTTGTGCAAATGTACTGCTTAGACCTGAGTCGTCGCCTCCATCCCGATTGGTCCGTTCAGCCTCATCGTCTCCTCTGAGTACACAGCTTTAACCCCACACAGATGTGTACTTCATTTACATTTGAGAACAGAAAGCAGAGTGTACGATCAGAAACAGAATCTTTTCACTTCCAAAGATTCACATTAAAGTTGTTTTGGTCACTAAATGTTTTTAAATCTGAGTAAAATGATTGTATTTCTCTTTTGAGCTCCACAAAACTTCATCTTCTCAGATGTTTTTTTAAACACAGCGAGCCAACGAACGCAGGAGGCAAAAAAGGTTGTTGATGAGGTGAATCAGCCGCTGCAGGCTGCAGAGGTGAAGGCGGCTCAATTTTGAAATGTCGAGTTTCTCATTTTCAGTTTCTTAGCTCAACTCTTGGACCAAATGTTCATGACCAGCAGCAGCACAGCGCTGCAGCTGCAGGCTGGAGCTGCACCTGGACTCGTCTGCTACGAAGTCCTGCTGCGTGTGGTTTAACATCGTCCTGCTGAAAACAAAGGCTGTCAATGAAAGAGAGCTTTTCCGCACATAGCTGCTGAGTGTTCTCTGAGCTCCTAGACGCACACTGACGTTTATTATTTTACAAGCTGTCGTTTTTGTCTCTTACATCAGACTCCACCACCAGGGAGATGGAGAAACGACATGAGCAGACGGTCCAGGAGTGTCAAGGTTTGCGCTCATATTTTTCTTAAGATGGTGCATTTTCCAGTTTAAACCGTTGACAGGATAAAATAATATTTATTTATGAGAAAATTGAGCTCTGTTTTTAGTGACATATTTACACACAGCGCAGCCACATGTTTGTACTTTCACTTTCTAGATGTCTGCCCTGCTTCAAGTCCCTGCGTGTTATCTGCACGTAGTGTTCAGACGCGTTCGGGCACATCAGCTCAGCCATCTGCTTCACAGGTCCGAGTGCTGCTACGACTCAAAGCTTCGTTCTGTGATATCTCCGGTGTTTACAGAGACACAGTTAAGTTTGTTAGTATCTGAATAACGACACTGTTGATGACTCTGCTCGTCACCGCAGAGGATTTTAAACCAAAGTTTTTATTCATGTTTAAAAAACAAAGTCTGACTGACAGGCAGTTTAGTCGTGTTTATGACAAAAGAAGCAGATATACTCAGACAAAAGACCAAAGGTGTGAAAAACACATGAAGCCAAGGTTCGATAGTACCGGACTGACGGGAGGAAAGAAACAGCCAATGATCTGAAGGAAACCACGTCATGTGACCAACATGGTGGAGCCAGTGTTGCAGTGCAGATGGATAATGACCCAAAAAACCTCCACGTAGATCGTTCACCTGATGAAACTGGTTCAGCTGTTTTAATCTGACTGTTGTCCTGATGAATGTTTCTGATTGTCAGACTCTTCCTGTGTTTGTGCTACTGCAGCTACAAACAGCAGCAGGCCAGAACAGGCCTGCATTCTTTGTGCATGCAGAGTCGGTCGCCTCGGACAAACAAATCGTCTTCACACTCTCAGCTTCTCACAAGATCACAAATGCATGCTGCGTTCAAGTGACAGTGGACAAATGATTATTAATGTTTATTTTAATGAGAAAATGAACAGGCAGAGGAGGAACAACCGTCAGATGACAGCCAGATATCAGACATTAACCTGCACTGATGCAGATGTTTGAAGGA